GGCTCTACACAAATGGATGCAGGAGATGGAATCCATACGGCACAACAGCATTGTCTTTTTTTTTTTTGAGCTGAGTGATGACAGGAAGACACATTTCCCTTTGTGTCTGGCTAAGAGTAATGTTGTTAGTTTCCACAGTAACAGAGAACTGATTTATGAATTAATGAAGTGAGTGATCAGAGTCTGTGAAAGGAGAGGAAAGATAAGAAGCAGTGCGGAGTTCTGCAGTCAGAACATGAGCTCAGATATTCAGAGTGGGGGTAGAGTAACGTTATTTGGGGATTGGGGTCAGCTGTTTTTACTCTCTTTACTCCACCTTGTTTAATAAACATACTCTTAAAGGAGTTCATAAGCTGCAATTACTGACTTAATCAATAATTAATACATGTTCTTTTGTGGTTTATCACTAGTAAGTATACTGAGGTTACTTGATGACAACGGGAAACTCCATCTACTGATTAAGACCACCAGCTTTGTATGGTAATAATGTAGGTAGGTAATGTGTAAATGAACTGTGGTAAACTTCCCTCCATCTTACCAGAGATCTTCCTACTCATATCACGGCTTGAAACATGTCATCCAGTGGATTTTTCGCTGGCTTTTGCGCGAACTACAGATTGTACTTTCGCATTGTTTTACGTCCGCCACAACTGTCACGGTAAAACTAGGCAGTGCTGATCAAATATAAACCAAGATTCTGTTACTGTGTTGCTTAATTCTCACCTAGAATGCCCCTAGAAAACGTATTTTAGTGACCTGTTTAGCTGTAATGCGACAATTCATGAACAGGAAGTAGGTGCCATACTGTTTCCTGTGTTTTAAAAACAGAGGCTGAAAAAACTGAGATCAAACCGTAGAACTACTGTAGGCAGCGCTGATCAAATATAAACCAAGATTCCGTCACTGTGTTGCCTAATTCTCACCGCAAATACCTCAAGAAAACATATTTTAGTGCCCTGTTTAGCTGTAATGTGAGAATTCGTGAACAGGAAATAGGAGACATACTTTTCCTGGGTTTTAAAAATGGAGACTGAAAAAACTGAAATCAAACGGTAAAATTAGGCAGCACTGATCAAATATGAACCAAGATTCTGTTAATGTGTTGCCTAATTCTCACTGCAAATGTCTCCAGAAAACATATTTTAGTGCCCTGTTTAGCTGTAATACGAGAATTTGTGAACAGGAAGTAAGTGCCGTACTGTTTCCTGTGTTTTAAAAACAGAGGCTGACAAAACTGAGATCGACTGTTAGAACTACTGTAGGCAGCGCTGATCAAATATAAACCAAGATTTTGTTACTGTGTTGCCTAATTTTCACCTAAAATGTCTCCAGAAAACATATTTTAGTGCCCTGTTTAGCTGTAATGTGAGAATTTGTGAACAGGAAGTAAGTGCCATACTGTTTCTTGTGTTTTAACAACAGAGACTGAGAAAACTGAATCAGAAAGTAAAAGTAGGCAGCGCTGATCAAATATGAACCAAGGTTCTGTTAATGTGTTGCTGATTTCTCACATTAAATGTTCTCATCAACATATTTTAGCCCACTGCTTTACTATAATTCAACATTGTCTCTTACCAGCTGATCGCCATATTGTTTCCTGTGTCCAACTAGCATTATGTCACCCACGAGTTGGAGCGGGTATTGGTCTGGTGCAGCGATATTCATTCTGATGGATAAAGGTTTTCTACCTTTTGAGCAAAAGCATTTACCACAGCTCTTTTCCTCTGTTTTCTCTAGTCATGGCACTAACGTCAAAAGTATGTGTCTTTCTTCGGTATAGACAGCAGAGTTTCCTGAAAATACCACCTTTCCATCAGTAGAATATTTCTTTAAGCGAAAGAAGTGGAGGGACTTTAACTTCCATGGCAATCTATAGAAACAACAGCAGTGTTCTGGTTTCCATTTGTAGTCTGAGTAGTATTGACCAATCACAATTGAGTGGGCAGGCTAACAGTCCGTGCAAACAGCAAAAGAGGCAGAACACATCGGCCAGAATACAACCTCAGAACCCCTTTGCTATTGTCCAACGATCAAGCTTTTTGTATACACCTATCTGCATTCATGTGTAGATATCTGTTTATAGACGTTAGCCGAAATGTCATCTGGACCTGAAGCACCTACAAAAAAGCATCAGTGTGAGTGCATGTTCAGCTCGTGTAAGTGAAAGTCTGACAACATTTGTAGACATCTCTCAAATCCAACTCCAGTCTCTCGTCTCAAGTTGCTAATCGGACTGTTCACAAAGACCGGCGCAGAGGAGTGGAAGTCTTGTCCCGGAAATCCAGTACCCAGGTATTCAAGGCCACACTGGAGCCCCTAAAATATTAAGTTTGTTCGAGATGAGCTCGGCCTGCACATAACTGATCATCTGTAATTGCTGCACAATGACAGTTAGATATATGTCCGACTTTATCCCAAGTAGCTCTGACATCATGCACATGTGGGTGATGATAACCTCACCAGATTGAGGCAGATCTGTGCAGCTGTAATATTTAATGCTATATCGTAGACTTTGAGTCTCATGTTGTTCAATGAGGGTTTCATTTATTGACAAACTGCTAATTAATTTCTGAATCCTAGGATTGCGAAGGAATGATCCGCCTTAATCTCTCTATGATTGGAAAGTACTCATTGCCTTTGTTAGGTTTGGTTAGGTTTCGGCAAGGGAGTTGAGACTGGGTAGGATTAGGGTAAGATTGTCTGGGTAAGACAATCAGACACAGAGTAAGGCATCCTAGGAAACACAAATTAGCCTACAGGTAGTCTACAGATGGATCTAACAGGATGTAACTATTTCTGAGTTCCTGTGTATTCTTTGAAGGCGTCAGGAAACTTGACTTGACAGAAGCTTTTTTTTCCACTGCCAACTGTTTGCATCCACTTTCCCAGCGAGGAACAGGTCATCTCAAAAGGGCTCATTGGCTGTCGAGAGGATAAATCAGTGTCAGACCGATAGCCAATCGATTAAGAGATTGCTTCTTGTTTTCAAGAACCACTTAAACACCAGTTTAAATACTGACATCAAGTCTTTTTCCATGTTTGAATATCATCTCTCTGCTTCTCTTATTATGATAGATGACAGATAAATAAGAGAAACCTTCATGGCTGTGTATGACTGTAGAGGAAATCACAACCAGTAAGAAGCAAACACCTTGAGACAGATGAAGAGATGAAAAAGATTTGTCTTTGCCAATGTCTTCCAGTTGAAATCAACTGATTCACCCAGTAACAAGAAGTGTGTTTACATCCACCTGTTCTTATCCACAATAATCATTTAAAAAGCAGAAAAACAAAAACAAACAAAAAGGAAAAAGATTTCGAAATAAAACCTCGATATGTTGCAAAAAAGTTCCTGCACTTGGTGAAAGTGTAGAAGTTGGTGTTATGAATAAAAACAGAATGCAGCAGAAACACTGAAGAGCCGAGAACATCAGATGTGTGAGTGCGACTTAGACTCTAACCTTCCTGACATTAACACGAGACTGACAGAAATATTTCCATCATGTTTTCCACAGTTTGAGGCATGAATGTTTTATACGAGGGTGTCTGCAGGTATCAAACACTTAATTTTAATCCTTTTTAAGACCATTTCAAGAGAATTTTAAACCAAATGTAAGACTTTCGGGGGGGACGACACTTTAATGCATAAGAGGTTGACTAATTTTAAGAAAAAGAAATTATAAGATGGATAAATGAATTTGGGTAATATGTTTGTGGTAATTTAGACGCCACAAATCCAAAATTAAGATTATAGCGATGGTTCGGGTCCGGGCATTTTTAGGCAATGCTGAGCAACCTCTGGCACCTAAGACGGTCATCTACCGCTTTGAGCTAATTGGCAAGTAGCAACTCAACAGTGGCTTCACAAATTGAGTAAGCCATTCACTGTTGTGTAGGAAAGCAGCCATCCATGCATGGAAATGCAGATTTGAAACCACTGTAAAAGATTCAGTTATTAAGACAAAAATCTGAAAATACACATATTGCATCTAGACAGCATGGAGATGTTGGTAATTTGTTTGTAACAATGATTGATTTGCTCCATAAGTGAAAACTGATGTTTAAAATTGCCATTTTTACATTGACTCCAATTGTTCACATTAGAGCAAAATTCAAAATGCTGTCAAAAATTCAGTTTTTGAGATAAAATTCTGAAATTTGCCACACATCATCTACCATGACTCTAGAATTTTGTCTTTTTTTCATGAACACTGAAGATTTATTTAGCAAGAATTTGCATGTATATGTTTACAGTACCGTTTACAGTCAAACATTTTGATGCACTGTAGGCTCAATTTTTGATAAATCAAAAATCTGAGAAACGTAGTTTTTGTAGGACAGTCTGAAGATGCTCTGTAGCAAGTTTGGTGTCAATTGAGCAAAAATTGTGGGAGGAGATAGGTTTAAGAAGTTTTACAGTTTTTGGACTTCATAATTTTTAACAGGTTGTACAAAAGATGTACAAAAGTTTCTTCAATATTGGGGCTACAGTTTGATGAAAGTTGTGAAGTTGTAGCACGTATGGTTGATTTGTTATGAATTTTCAAAGTTTTGAACTTTAGACGCTTGCTGTAGCGCCACCATCAAGACTATTGGCTTGAGTTTACAGTTGAGGATATCTGGCATGAGACTGGACCTTTGTGCAAAGTTTGGTGAGTTTTCACCCATGGGAAGTGTGATTTCCTTGGAAGAAGAAAGAAGAAGAATACCTAGGATTACAATAGTGTCCTGGCAGCTTAGCTGCCTGGACCCTAAATATTAAGTAATTTTTAAGGCCTTATATTCATACTATACTGTATTTATAGCCATTTTTATAAGTTCTAGTTTCCGATTTGAGTCACTTTAATGCACCACCTGACCTGGCAAGTGTGGAAGACGCCATGGGGTTACATTCTTTACCAGCCGTGATTTTAGTTAATCTTAGTTTTTATTGTTTGATGAAGTTGTTTAATACCCCATTGATTTGAACCTTGTTTTTGTGAAGGCTTGTTTATTTGGGATTTTTTTTTTTTTTAAGGTCAGGAAACGACACAGCTAATTTAATTTTCATAATATTTCATAGGTGGAAGTAGCAGTATTAAATGAGATTACTGACATGCAGTTCACAGTTCAGTTGAGGTGGTAACTTAGTTTTAATGTAATATAATAATAATAAAGAATAATAAAAAAAACATTGACATTATTTTTGTCTGCAAAATGGGGTGGATTTAAACCCTTAAACTAGCTGACACTGAATTTTTGGTTTTCCTTTAAGGGCCAGGTAGTTTGAATTGTTTGTACATGGTTAATCACTGCACACACAACATCTCAACATACGGAACGGCACTGGATTCACAAAAGGATAACCAGAGTTACTGCTTTGCGGTTGTACGCCTCCAGATTCCATCCATGCCTGTGAAACCATGGCTGCCCCACACCCAGAGGATCTACACAGCTTTTTTTTGCTTTCATTTTTTTAACGCGACATTCAAGACGATAAGTTCATAGCGTCACCGTGCAAACCTCCACACATCCTGCAATCAGTCAACTCTGAAACCAACCAAAGCACCTGGATCATCAAACGGTGAGTAAAACTAAACCAAAGACAGTGAGGTCTTCATATCTCCCACCATGGCATCTGTGGGCGGCTATTTTTTAACTTATTTGGAGTCCGCAACATATATATAAAATTGGATTTAGGAGGTTTTCAAACTTTTAAAGAACCTGCAGACACCCTGAGCTGGATACCAGACACAAAGATGGTGCCCACAAATAGTTTTCTAGCTTCAGGGTTTACCTGTTGTTTATCTTGATGAATTAACTGTTAATATTTGCCCAAGAGCAGCGGATTTTCTTTAGAGGATTTTCTGGAAATTCGTTTAAAATTTGCACTACGTTTGGATGGAAACCTGGCTACTGAGAGATGAAACAGAACAATAATAACAGAATCACACATATAGGCACTGTGTTATTAAATAAAGAGCAAATCAATTAACAAAGTTCACACATTTATCAGATTTCATTCTGCCAAAACATCAAATAAACATTTGATATACTGACATGTCCTCGTCTGTATTCCCATTCCACACAATGCCAGTGTCAGTTCTGCTCTTACAGTTAAGGACAAACGTCCAACACACCAGACCGGCCGGTAAAAGTTGACTTTACAACCACCGGCTCTGCACATAAAGAAAGATTCAGTTCATATTTGGCTGAGTTTGGGCCATGCCTCAGAACTGCACCGCGCTGGGTGGGATGTCAAACATGGAGGGGTCGAACTGCTGCCCTTTGAACGGTGAGCCCTCAGCGTCCCAGCCCTTCTTCAGCATGTCGTGCACCTTCTGTGGAGACAGACACGCATGGAGAGAGATGTGTTTACATGCACCAATAATGCTGATAAAACCCCACAGTGCCATCTAGGGGTGAGTCAGAGTACTGTAACTGGACACCAGTGCAAATCAGGCAGTAAAAAACAGATTGGTGCTGATTTGGACACTAAATAGTATTTACCGGGGATTTGACTAGCTTTTCAGCATCATAATATTCAGTATTTTTTTGATTACAGGCCATAAACTTAATATTTATGAACTAGAACCTTCATCAAGCTCGTGAAAAAAGGTGGGGGAAATTTAGAAGCTTAGAGCTGTTATTTATTTGAATGTGTCGATACATATTTAAAGGATTACTTCAGCATTTTTTAACCTATTTCTTTAAGCCTATTTTCCCATGTTTCTGTATTTAAACGACTAATGGGAACAACAATTTTTGAAACTGGTGCTGCATTGAGAGACCACTGCAGCAGCAAAATAGGCTGCACTGTAATCCCAGCTCATATTGCTCGCCAAACACACCAGACTCCATTTAAATAAACACTAGTTTTAGCGTGTACAGCGCCAGCATATTTTCACATCTAACTGGGGGAATTAAGGGTTTATTTCGACCAAAGCACAGTTGGCGATTGTTGGAACAGTGTAAAGATGAACCAAGATGGCGAGTCTGGTGGGTTTGATGATGATGATTTTGAGGCTGTTTCTGGTTAAACAAAAAGGATCTTACTCTTTAACAAAATGGCCTATCACTGCAGGGATCTCACCCTTTAATCACCAGTCAAGTAAATATACTGTAAGTTACATATCAGACTCAGTATACGCAGATACTTAGAATAAAATGTTATTTCATCCCTGTACAATAGGGTGGATTTTAGAGTGGATTAACCGTGAGAGGACGGAGCGATCGTCCCTCACACTCACAATTCTATCTCATTAATTCAGGCTTCTACTCAAAATACTGGGAAGTTTTAAATCCACAACCTATGAACGCTCACTTCTACACGACGTCTTCAAGTACTTGTTAAGTCACTGCCCCCTCTAGCAGTTACAGTGCTTCCGTAAATTATCCTGTCATGTCTAAATGAAGCAGTATGGAAGTCACCTGTGTCTAAATGGCAAAACTCACTTGGTTCAGGTTGCCTTTCCCCAGTGAGATGATTTTTTTAAATGTTAATGAAAGACCTGGTTTCTCTAATCAGGCTGTATGATTACAAAAACTTGAATTCCTCAGGTAGATTTGTCTTGAAGAAAGTCAGTTTCTTCCATAACCAGGTTTATAATAAGCTTTTATACGAGGACACAGATAAGACCTGCAGACAGGCAAAGTAACAGAAGAGCTGCTGCATGAAAGGAGAGATCTTTACACAGAAAGATACATCTGATTACTTAAAATAACTCCGTCCAGAGTCTGACGAAGGTTATGCTTGGAAGTACTCGCTCCAAGTGCAGGACCTGGACCTGGACGTACTGTTTGGTTATTCAGAACACCCCACTCTTGGAGCAGTAGAGCACTACGCGTGATCGCGTGCTTCACTTGATTCACATGATTAAATAGATAATATATATTTCTTTTACGGTATAAATTCAAGCTTTTAATCAGGCTTGGGCCCAAAACTGCTGCTCTGGTTCGGGAATGGGTCAGGCTTGGACAGAAACTGCAGGGCCTGATTTTTTGGGCCTTATCAGAGCTCATGACCCCTGATAGTAACACCAAGTTACATTTTCAGATCGTTCCCCATTGTGTTTGGAGTTTGAGTTTTCTCACCATTTCGTGACTCTGTGGTTTCCCCTGCAGCTTCTGATGGTAGTCGAAGGAGAGTCTGTCCAGAACGGCGTGCTCCTCCTCATCGACCGTTGCCATGGAGCGCTCGCGGTTAATTTGGTTGATATCAATCTCCTTCTCTCCCTTCAGCACTGCGTTCCACCAAACCTCCGAGGTCTTACTGAGCGACAGCTGCGAGTCAAAGACGGTGACTTCTATTAAAAGCTGTTCGATATGAAAGTTGGAGACATCGAGTGACGTAGGAGCGAGTTTACTCACGACCACACAGTTTCCAGGCTCCAGACTCCACAGAGAGTTCTCAGTGTTGATCTTGTGAGTGAATTCTCCCTCCATCAGTGTTTTGTCTTCGGCTCCGTCCCTCACACACACCTGGAGGCTGCTGGTCTGCAGATTGACTCTGACCTGAGGACAGCATGTATGAGACGAAATCACTGGAATGAGAACAGCATTCCTGGTGCGTCAGGTGATGGGATAGACCGTGTTTACCTGTCGGCCTTTAATGATCGTCTTTGGCACAAACACGCGGACCTCCACATCAGTGTAGTCCTGAGACCAGCTGTAGTTTTCCCTCACAGCCCCGTTGTAACTGTCAGGGTCTGACTGATACTTCTCTTGAGTCCTGAAACAACACACACACACACACACACACACACACACACACACACACACACGTACAAAAAGACATTATTATCAAATCATAGTAAACTACAGCTGGAGAATCTTTTGAAAAGTTACGAAAACCAGTATTATAAGTGGCGCTTACACAGAAAGATTTTACTACAGTATGTGCACTTACTGAGATGTACTGATATGTAATGTCACTTTCAATAGGCTGACTCTAGACTTAATTCACCAGTAAGAACACATAGTTTTGATGGATAAAAACATTGAAGGTCACTCACCCTTTTGCTGAGGTCGTAGCAGCTGCAGCTGCCTGGTCTCCTTGAGCTACCTGTCCTGAACCTGAGCTGCTGTCCTCAGGCTGAGGGCTGACAGTCGCTTCTGAGGAGGCAGGAGCTGTAACTCCTCCAGCATCTGAGGGAGAACTCTCCGTCTGTGCGGCCTCTGTGCTCTGCTCCTCTGTCTCCTCTGCGGTGACCTCCAGCTCCTGAACTGCTGGAGGAACACACTGATTCTGCTCTCTTTTTTGCAGCTCGCTCAGCTGCCTCTCTCTGTCGTGGTCTGCCAGCTTCTCAAACACCTTGAACGTCTGAAGAGGAAGTAAAAGATTGTGACAGATAACGGCATGAATTTCACTTATTCACATATCTTCAATCAGAAAGGAGGGACTGAACCACCTGCCGCTGTAGTTTGAGTTTGTCTGGCTTAAACACTTGCTGGCTCACTTTAGCACAGGATCTGACGTGTTGCAGCAATCACAGTATTCTTTAATCTGTTTCTGTGGTGTTTCTCATTTACTGTGTGTATATATGCTCAGCTGTGAGTTTATTAGGTGCACCTGGCTGAAACTAATGCAGTCTAATGCAACAGTCCTGCACTAAATCCTCCTTCATGAATGTTATAACATTCAGTTTTTATCTTTTTAGAGCTGTTGATAAAACTGTATGGTCATTCTGGAGGTTCGTGGTGCTGCTGCAGTGAACTGCATTAAAAGGAGATTTGTTTCTGTTATCTAGCCTGTCCTCATTGATATAAATGGGGTGGACAAAATAATAGAAACAGCAGCCTCCTTGCTCTGACATCTCTCTATTTAATGCATGTACAGGTCCTGTTTGTCCGTGTGTGTATATGACAACGGAGTAAAAAAAAAAAAACTGAATTTCCCCTCTTGGATTAATAAAGCATATTTTATTACTGTACGTTAACTAATCACGTAGTAAAATCACAAGATATCCAGCATCATGTAAAGCAACAAATTACCTGCAACATTAAAGTGATGAACTGAACACATTAATGCATCAATAAAATTCAAATAATACATTATATTTAATACTGAAATAGATTATTCTGTATAGTAAATACTTTTACTTTAGCTACTTTGAGTATATTTTCATGGTAATATTTTTGTACTTATATCAGATTAAGAGTGTGGGTATTTTACTTGTAACAGAGTGTTTCCACTCTGTGATATTACTGCTTTTACTACCTAGGTAATAAGGGGGGGGGGGGCAATACAGCATATTATCATGATAATTTTCGTAAGGTAATATTGCACAAATACACTGACAGCAAGCGTTTATTTTTTTATTGTAAAAAAAATTATTGAATATTACATGTACAAATTAAACTTTTGGGAGCCTACTAGAATAACAAAATCAGTTTCTTTCTCAGTCCACTAGATACAATTTGCTGCAATAAATTGATTTTAAGTTAGATGAACAGACCAAAAACTATATTGATAAGGATGCAGGATATTGGATTGTTTTATCAATATCTGATATGGCGATATGTAACTCATTTGGCTGATTATCGCCACAGATAGCAATATAACCATTTTCTTCCTCGCCCAAGTTTAGTTATCAAGTCTTTTCTGTAGTGGGATTAACATCATATCACACATGCATGCTGTTATCATAATGACCCACCAACAGATGGAAAAATTAAATACATTACTTTTCAGTATGTGTAATAATTATTCATTGTGCAAAATAATAATGTTGGCTGATTTCGATAATTCATTTGAAAGCCGATTTCTGCCGATTCCAAAGATGTGCCGATACTACCATGCATCCCTAGTACTAGATAAAACTGATGTTGAGAATGTTTCATTTGAAGCCATAATTTGCAGGTTTAAAAAAGGGTATTAAATGTCAAAATATACGTTATTAAAAAAGCGATAATACCGTATCTTGACTTGAGTATCGCGATAATATCGTATCGTGAGACCTCTGGTGATTCCCACCCCTTGTAAGCAAAAGATCTGAGTACATCTTCCACAACTGGCAGTAATATAATTAAGTTTTGAATGTTAAACGGCAAACAGTCGGTTTAAAACACATAAATACAGGTGCACAGACTCTAATGTTAAAGGGTTCAATAACTTAGGAAGTTGCTCCTTTTCCATGTTGACAAACTTCACCTTAAACACCATCTTCTCCGCCACACCGGGAGGAAACCCCATCTTGTCGTTGGGACTCGACAGCAGTCGGTAGAAGTCGGTTTTACGGTACAGGAACCCAAAATAGACCTGAAGAAAGTCCTGGATGTTTCCAACGTGCTGCAGGATCCCGAGCAGTGCGTTGTCGTACATCTCTGTCATCTGCAGAGGCGACGCCATTGCGGCTTTTACCGTTTATCACCGTGTTCACACGTTAACCTTCAAAGTGTCCCAACTGACGATTTAGAGACCGAAACAAAGAGCCGCTTTCAAGAAATACGAGTTTATAAATAAGTGTAACTCGCTGGGTAACGTTTCTGAACGGCTGCTCTTCTCGTTCCAGAACAGTAATGCCACTCCCGGTCCCATCTTTTCAAAGTAAGTGCACCATGTCGACAAACGCATAAAATTTGACAGTTAATCACAAACCTGTAGGGGCGTTATTTATTAGTATGATAATCAAGATATGTAATATCTAATTAATTTTATTATTCTAAATGCTACATTTTTTAGTCACAAACAGAAATTCGCTGAGTCATTTCCTGATTTTTTTTTGAAAAAAATCTTTTTACTATTACTATTTTTGAAAATTATGCACTTTTCCCCAAAATCCTCTGATTGAACCTGCTTTGCCATTCTTATTTAATTTGTTTATTTATTCATTTATTACATGTTCTGTTATTAATTATTAATTACCGGATGTTTTGTACATTTTAATTTGCCAATACTCTTGATAAAAAGACACAATTAATGACACAAAAAACAAACTAACATAAAAACCTGAAATACTGTTTTACGCATAAATTAACAACACTAATTAGTATTACAATAAATCATTTAAAGTTAGCCTTTCTACAAACTTTTACACTTTTTCTTCTTTCTACGTTTTACTTTTTCTTTTTCCGGTTGGTACGTGTCAACAGTCGTCCGATGGAAACAGATGCTTGACTGTCGCATAAACAGTTCCAGTGTACAGGCGTAGCTTACGGGAGAATTAATAATTTTGCCATTTTAACACGAGTTATAACTCTAGCGGTGTCGCAGTTTTAATTAGCTGTTAAAATACCGGATATAAATATAATAACAGAATTCAAATACATTTGAGGAAATAGTGTTAGCTGTCTACGCTCCGTTACGATTCACAGAAACATGGCGGCGTCCTTGAGCAGCACAGGGACCGTGAGGCTGCTGGTAAGTGAAAAAAAATAAACGTTTAATATTGGTATATTTATATGAATTAATATTAAAATAGCACAAATAATGTGGCCCGGTTAATTCAGCTCTGCAGTTTGAGAGCGTGTTTATTTAGGAGCGAACAGGTTAACTGACCGTTAGCTAACGTAGCTTCATGTCTGTCATGCTCAGTGGTGGAAGATGATCCTCTAGTAAAGGTACTAATAATGCCATACTGTGAAAATACTTGACTACAAGTTAAAGTCCTGCATTTAAAACCTTAGCTAAATAAAAGTATGTATCAGCAACGTACTCAAAGTAAAAGTACTTAACTTACAGTGCAATAAAATATTCCCTGCTGTCAGCTTACAGCAACATTAATGAGTGTGTTGCATTTTACAGCTGTAGATGTCTAAGGCTGTGCTCATTTTAACTCGTTCAAACATTCAACACGAACATATGGAGATTTGAGCTTTTCACTGTCCAGGAAGGGGATGAAAAACTGTAATCTACAAAGTTGCTACAGCTGTCGGACAAATATAGTGGAGTTAAAAGTACAATACTTGCCTCTGAGAAAGAGTAGAGTAGAAGTATAGAGTTGCATAAAATGGAAATACTAAAGTAATGTGCAAGAACTTCAAATTTGTTCTTAAGTAGATTTATGTTGTTGCATATGACCACTGGGCATAACCAAGGGTAGATGACCAGTAGGGCTAAACATCATTCCATAAGCTCAACTCTTACTCATTCATATTTTATCGTGTGAAAGCTTTCTTTTCTTAGGCTTTGAAATCTGAAGTTTTTTACTGTCATGGTGTTTCCTCTGTTTTCTCTGCAGAGCGCTTTAGCAAGGTCCAGCTTATTATGCAGCTCCCCTGGAAGCAGAGCACTCCATGTCACTGCAGTGTGCTGCAAGGTAAATGCTGACATCCAGACATTATCATAGTTAGACAGCATGCTGTTGTTACATGTTTGTCTAAGAGTCTAATGGAAACAATTCATCTACATCCACTAAAGGGCTATTGTGTCACTGACAGGCTCGGATCATTATTCTGAGTGTCTGACATTAAGTAAAGGATCCCTACAGAGATAGACCTTTTCGTTAAAGAGTGAGACCCTTTTTGTTGAACTAGAAACAGCCCCAAAATTGCAATCATCAAACCCCCCAAGCTCCACTTAAATAAACAGTAATTTTATGATTGTAAAACACTCTTTATTCAAAGTTGACAGAAACAAAATACAACTCACAAATGCCATCTAGGTTTGTCTTTCCAGTGTTCCAACAGTCACCAACTCTAGTTTGGTGCAAATAAACCCTTAATTCACAGTTAGATGTGAATATATGCTGCCTCTATACAGGCTGGTTGGTTTGACAATGGCAATTTCAGCCCCGTTTCTGGTTTGACAAATAGGATCTTACTCTTTAACAAAAAGGGTCTATCTCTGTAGGATCATTTCCATAATGTTGTCAGACACTTAGCATGACAATCTGAGCCTGCCAGTGACGAAAACAAGAATTTTTAGTGGTTGTCAATATCAAAGATAGAAGAGACAAAATCTACAATCCACAAAGCTGAAGCTAATATGAAACCTCTCCCAAAGTTACAATTGTTTTAGAATATTCTTGCATATTTGTGATTTGCACAGAGGTGGAGTTGAGCCCAAGTGAGCACCCTCTGTTGTTACTGACATTCAGTTCTCTTACTTTCTTTCTTTTTTGTTTTCCAGAACCGAGCAGGTCGTGCGCGAGTGGGTAAAGGAGACAGACCTGTGACCTATGAGGAAGCACTTCCACCTCATCAGATCGCCCATCGCAAAGGATGGCTGTCGCAGCACACCAGTGAGCATGACCATGCTTGTCAAAGAGCAGTTTAACAGCTTGGGTCTCATGGTTCAGTGATGTAGTGTCTCTCCAGCCTGACTATAACATGTAACACAATAGGACATGTGTAAAAGGATCACAGCTTGCATATATATCACAGTTTTTTCTGTTTTTTTTTGTTTCTTAAAATTTAGATTTGGATCCAGAGTTAAGGCAAGACACTTAAAGTTGAATTTAGTGCTGTATGTCTCAAGACAACTCTCCTTCCTGTCTCTGCCAGGTAACCTGAAAGGAGAGGAGGGCGCAGCTGAGCGGACCATAGAGGACGTGTTCATAAGGCGCTTCATGTTCGGGACCTTCCACAACTGCCTGGCCAACGAGATCGTGATCAAAAGGCGCGGCAACATGCTCATAGTGTGTGCTTTAGTGCTCCAGAAATTAGGACCACAGAAGATTTACTTCCTTGTAGGCTACTCAGAGACACTACTGTCGCACTTGTACAAATGCCCCGTCAAGTTAGAGATTCAGATGCTGCAGGATAAAGCTGTGTACAAGTACCTCTGATGCAACAAGGTGGTACTAATACTGTTCCTGCGAGAGTTACTGTACCAGCAGCTGGATTTTGCTCCAGTGCTGACTTTGCTCCTGTCTTATCAAATGTTTTCAGTCTCAGTGCTGTTGTTAAACACACTCTCAGAAATGAAGAAAATACAATCATGTGTGTGTCACTGAAACATTACACCTGACACTGTTAAACAAATATAGCAACTACAAGGTTGAATACATTGTATGTGTGTTTATACTGCTGCTTCAGCTCACCATGTTTCATCTGTAATTTGTTATTTTAGAAATGTCATGATATCATCCTTTATCATGGTGGATTGTAAGTGAGGTGAAAAGTTTGTGATTAATTAAAAAAAATTAACACATTGCTGCCAAAGCAGAGGGATGTTTTGTAAAGCAAGATTAAAAAATAAATCTCACAACCCTAATTTCAGTTTAGACCCATTTATTTATAAAACTATAACCCTAACCCTAACCCCACCAATTGACTAGAATACTAGCAAGTTAGCTTGTTTACCAGGTAGGCTGTGCTAACAAGTAAGCTTGTGAATAGGCTACAATATTAACAAGTTAGCTTGCAATAGGCTACAATATTAACAAGTAAGCTTGTGAATAGGCTACAATATTAACAAGTTAGCTTGCAATAGGCTACAATATTAACAAGTAAACTTGTGAATAGGCTACAATATTAACAAGTTACCTTGCTAATAGGCTACAATATTAAGTTAGCTTGCTAATAGGCTAAAATATTAACACGTTAGCTTGCTAATAGGCTACAATATTAACAAGTAAGCTTGCTAATATGCTACAATATTAACAAGTTACCTTGCTAATAGGCTACAATATTAAGTTAGTTTGCTAATAGGCTACAATATTAAGTTAGCTTGCTAATAGGCTAAAATATTAACAAGTAAGCTTGCTAATAGGCTTTGCCCCCCTTTCTTGCGGGGTGCCTCAAGGTTCAGTGCTTGGGCCTATCCTCTTTACGCTATACATGCTCCCTCTCAAAGATGTCATCAGCAATTTTGAGGGTATCTCATACCATATGTATGCAGATGACCTCCAGTTATATTTTTCTTTTAACCCTGATAGGACTGATGGAATTGACTCACTGTACGATTGTATGAATGTAATTAAGGACTGGATGGCTTCTAACTCCCTTCAGTTGAACACAGTTAAACTGAGATTTTAATTATTGCACCTCTTGCTCAGCATCTAAAGTGGCCAGCTGCTTAGGGTCCCTCAGTGCAAATGTGCGCCCCAAGTTGAGAAACCTTGGGGTCACATTTGATCAGGCCATGCTCTTCGATGACCACATCAAAACTGTCACTCGCTCCTGCTTTTTCCACCTCAAAAACATTTCCAAACTCAGATCCATGTTAACTTATTCCGAGCTAGAAATGATTATCCATGCTTTTATTTCCTCACGTCTAGATTACTGTAAGTCTCTTTTCACCTGTCTCAATAAAACTTCATTAGACCGCCTCCAACTAGTCCAGAACGCTGCCGCCAGGCTTCTGTCCAGATCTCATAAGTTCACTCACATCACTCCAGTCCTAGCATCCCTGCACTGGCTCCCTGTTAATTTCAGGATCCAGCACAGGATTCTAACCATCACTTACAGAGCCCTCCATGGTCAAGCACCTGCATACTTGACGGATCTGGTGTCCTTTCACTGTCCTGTCAGGTCACTGCGGTCCGCTGAAGGCCACCTACTTACTGTCCCTCACACAAGATTAAAGACGAAAGGTGATAGAGCCTTTAAGGCTGTTGCACCGAAATGGTGGAATGCACTACCTCATGAGCTGAGAGCGGCCTCTTCCGTGGACATTTTAAAAAAGCAGTTAAAAACACATCTGTTTAGGCATGCGTTCCATTAATTGTCCATTGTATCATCTCTGTATTTCGCTGCACTTTACTTTTTATTTGTTTTTGTGTATTTTGCATTGTTTCTGTTATTGTATTTTTTGTATTTTATCTTGTGAAGCACTTTCTGTGAGAAGTGCTATATAAATAAAATTTACTTACTTACTAATAGGCTACAATATTAACAAGTTAGCTTGCTAATAGGCTAAAATATTAACAAGTTAGCTTGCTAATTGGCTACAATATTAATAATTTAGCTTGCTAATACGCTAGAATATTGAGTTAGCTTGCTAATAGGCTACAATATTGAGTTAGCTTGCTAATAGGCTTCAATATTAACAAGTTAGCTTGCTAATAGGCTAAAATATTAACAAGTTAGCTTGCTAATAGGCTACAATATTAACAAGTAAGCTTGCTAATTGGCTACAATATTAATAAGTTAGCTTGCTAATACACTAGAATATTGAGTTAGCTTGCTAATAGGCTACAATATTAACAAATAAGCTTGCTAATTGCCTACAATATTAATAAGTTATCTTGCTAATACACTAGAATATTGAGTTAGCTTGCTAATAGGCTACAATATTAACAAGTTAGCTTGCTAATAGGCTACAATATTAACAAGTAAGCTTGCTAATAGGCTACAATATTAACAAGTAATCTTGCTAAAATTAGCAATTTAGCTTGCTAATAGGCTAAAATATTAGCAAGTTAGCTTGCTAACTAGGTAGGCTATGCTAACAAGTAAACTTCACAGACAAAGAGTAAAGATAATAGCATTTTCAGTTGTAAATTCCTGCAATTAACGCATTTTTCCATGTTGATCCTGGATAGATTTGCCTAGGTTTATCCGATACCGTCATCATCATCATCATCATCATCACCACCACGCTGAGTCTGGATAATTTGTTAATGTTGACATCAACATAGTGGTGATGGTCCTGGATTAACTTCAACTAATCTATTTAGGGTTGACATGGCAATTATGTCCCTGGATCAAACAAATTATACAGGATAAAGATAGTTTTGAATACACTATGTGTCCTTCTCAAGTCTTTGCAACTGCAAAATGACATTATCTTTACTCTTAATGAACAATATTTCAGCCTATTAGCAAGCTTGCTCATTGCAGTAGCCTGCCTAGTTGGCAAGCTAGCTCGCTAATATTCTAGTCTATCGGCAGGTTTACTTGTAGCATAATCTCCCTAGTTAGCAAGCTAACTCACTAACCTTAGCATATAGGGTTTTTGTTCAGTGTTATAGAAGATTTTGTTTAATTGTAGGAATTTGAAACAGAAAAATGCTAGCATAGCCAACCTAGTTAGCAAGCTAACTCGCTAACCCTGGCTCTATCCAGTTAAAAGCTGTAGATAAATTACACAGTTAGCCAACACTCATCAAATACTGGTAAAATCAGTCATAGACAGATAAAGTTATTATTAAGTCTATAGTTTGAATTGTTGAAAATTTGTTTTATTCTGTTTCCTCTCCTATTCAACAACAAATAAGCACAAAAATTAGCAGTATATTTTATGTTATAACATTTGTGTCAAACAGCTATAAAAAGAAACTATAAAAAAATATACACTTCACACCCATAATTTCAGTTTAAATGCATTTATTTATTATACTCAGTTATAAAAACACAACAGCACATATGTCATCATGAAATGAATGAATCATGCAGGTGAGTCCATGTTTCCAGGTGTGCCCTGTGTGCTGCTGTCTTCAGTGTGTGAACACACACTCTGCTGTGTTTCCTCCTCCGAGCTCCTCTTGATAGTCAGCTCTCTCTCAGCCTCCTGAACACATGGAGCTTTGGCTGCCTGGATGTGGAGCTTCCCGTCTGGAGCCAGGCAGCAGGTGACGGCTTCAGGGTTGGATCCTTGGGGCAGATCAATCTCCTGTCTGAACTCCTGGAGTCTGTAAGAGTAGGAGCCTTTCCCGTCCTCCTGCTTCTTCTCTGTCTTCCCGCTGACTCTCAGCTTCCTGCCCTCCTGTCTGACAGACAGCTCCTCTGGGGAAAAGCCTCGAACGTCCAGGGTCAGGCCGAAGTGCTCTCCCTCTTCCTCCAGCTGGCAGGAGAGTGGCTGCACGGCCATGTTGGCTTGGAAAGGCTCTGTCTGCTCCTGGATCTTGTGTTGAAGTTTGTCCATCAGCTCCAGCCAGCTGCGGAGCTCCTGTAGGTTTCTCTGCAGTAGATCCTGCTGGTGAAGCAGAGGTTTGACCTCTGACCTCAGAATGCGTACAGGCCAGTACATGTCCATGACTGGACTGAGGGCAGAGTGGAGTCCATGAGAGCACAGCATCCTCAGTGTGTGTTCAGTGTTGAGTCCTCTTGCTTAAGTGTGTGTTGCTTTCTGTCTCAGCAGTGGGACTGTCCCAGCTTTTATATTCTCACTGGAGGAGCTCCAGAGTCTTCAGGAACTTTCTTGTCTTTGCCACATGTCTCCACTGAGGGGAGCTGTTACTCAGGGTTGGTGATGTCACTGGATCATTCCTGTGTTTTCAGGAACTTTCCTGCATTTGCTGGACTTCAACACTAGATGTCACTAAAGCTCATGTCATCAGATTTAGGTCTTTTCTTTTGTCCAAACTGCATTTCTCATAAACACAGCTCCAATGGGATCTCACATTTCTAGATTTGGTTTTGTTTGATCTGTTTGTACAGGTATAAAACAAATAGTATTACTGCTGCTAGTAGGAATAGTGCTTCATACTGAGCTTGCAGTTTTTGGTTGAATTAAATTATAATTACATTTAGATTTTACCCACTTTTGCTTCATATATCCATTTCCTCATTAGCAGCTCAGTCATCTTCCTGCTATAGTTCTTAGATGGACTTATCTCCTTCTGCAACCACATTACTCTGAAGCCACTGTCTGCATATTAGCACCAAAATCAATGACACAGACCAGACAAGAACAGACTTTAATGTAATAAAGAGAATTGCTGAATAGTTCAGTGCATACTCAGTCACACTCAGTGTTTCATCTTTCTTCTCTTTTCGTTGGTGTTTTTCTGCAACAGCTTTAATTCTCCCTGGTGGAGAGTCGTCTCCTGGGGTTACATTTCCATGTCGTCTTCTTTATCTTCCAGTGGGGTAAATTAAGGCAGTTGTCATAGTTTCCTTTTTTTATGGCATGTTTTTTCAGGCCACAACAGATGCTAAATATATTCTTGTCATGATTTTCTTTTATTTCTGGTAAATAAAATGAACATATTAATGGTGACAAACCAAAATTGTACAGCCTCTTTATAGCCAAATTACCAAAAATATTTTGCAGTTATGGAAAATCACATCATCAAATGTTTTTACATCATGTTGCAACCAAAATAGAATTGAAATTAAAAATAAATACATAATGGGGCGTCGGTGGCTTAGTGGATAGAGCAGACGCCCCATGTACAAGGCTGTATGCTGCATGTCTCTCTCTCTCTCTCCCCCTTTCACACTTCACTATCCTATCAATTAAAGGCAAAATGCCCCAAAATATCTTTAAAAAAATAAAAATAAATAAATGATATAAAATAATGTAAAATAAAATAAAAAAAACATTTAAATTTAAATCAAATTAAATTAAATAAACACATTTATTTACCTTTATTTCACCAGGAAGCAGCCAATCAAAACACGTCAAATTTAATACATAAATCCACAATAAAACAACAACTATTCAACACAGCAGCCTCTCAAGAAAAACAAACACGTTCTATCACAACATTCTTTATGATGCCCTTAAATTCATCAATGGATATGCATGTCTAATTTTAGACCTTAAAAAAGGGTGTTCAATAAAAAAAATGCTTTAGTATTCACCTTCAAACAACATACAGTTTTGGTGAAATACCATCAGCAACAAATAGCATTACAGTTGGCTGTGTTCATCTCTAATAACACTCCCATCCCTTCCAATTTAAAGACAACATTTTTTAAAGCCGCTACAAGGAACTTTTAACTGGATATGCAAAAGTCTCTCGTTTCTGCTGATGTCTGTGCGTGACCTACAACAGCAAATGAGACCATCAGTGTGAAGATAAGCTATTTCTATATAGTGTATATCCATACCTTTAGGAAACAGTGTCCGGGTCCGCCCCAGGTCGCTTCCAGGACGAAACGATTTACGGCACTCAGACGGCACACTTCATCTTACCTAGCTGCTTACATTTATAGTGACCGTGGCTGACTGTTGGTGAGTCCAGTGCTTTCACAGAACTTTTACCCGATGATTGCTGCTATTTTAACTCCCCGTGGACGTCGGGTCGAGGAGGAGGAATAGCGACTATTTATAAGAGTCACTAAATGGAAGCAGCTAGGTAAGATGAAGTGTGCCGTCTGAGTGCCGTAAATCGTTTCGTCCTGGAAGTGACCTGGGGCGGACCCAGAGACAGTTTCCTAAAGGTATGGATATACACCATATAGAAATAGCTTATCTTCACACCGATGGTCTCATTTGCTGTTGTAGGTCACGCACAGACATCAGCAGAAACAAGAGACTTTTGCATATCCAGTTAAAAGTTCCTTGCAGCGGCTGTAATTAACTTATTGTTCCGAAATATCATAATTCCTCTAAACATTGTATCCTGCTTAGCTAAATAATAACCACTGTCAAAGTCATGCATCGCTCTAAATTATTACTGAAATTACAAAAATATAAGTTGCATTTTAAATATTGGGCAATGTGGATGTGAGACATTTTGAAACCTTATTTTAGTTGGAACATCAACAAAACATGAGAAAACAAGACAAAATAAATAAATGTATGTTCATCAGTGAACATGTCACACACCCACTCACCAGCCACTTTATTAGGTACACCTTGCTAGTTCCAGGTTGGACCCTTTTTGCCCTCAGAACTGTCTTAATCCTTGGTGTCATAGATTCAACAAGGTGCTGGAAACATTCCTCAGAGATTTTGGTCCATATTGACATGATGACATCACACACAAAGGTGCTCTATTGGACTGAGATCTGGTGACTGTGGAGGCCATTGGAGTACAGTGAACTCATTGTCATGTTCAAGAAACCAGTTCGAGATGATGTGAGCTTTGTGACATGATGCGCTATCCTGCTGGAAGTAGCCATCAGAAGATGGGTACACTGTGGTCATAAAGGGATGGACACGGTCAGCAACAATACTCAGGTAGGCTGTGGTGTTTAAACCATGCTCAGTTGGTACTAAGAAAATCTCCCCCACACCATTACACCACCAGCAGCAGCCTGAACCGTTGATACAAGGCAGGATGGATCCATGACGCCAAATTCTGACCCTACCATCTGAATGTGGCAGCAGAAATCCAGACTCATCAGACCAGGCAACGTTTTTCCAATCTTCTATTGTCCAGTTTTGGTGAGCCTGTGTGAACTGTAGCCTCAGTTTCCTGTTGTTAGCTGACAGGAGTGGCACCTGGTGTGGTCTTCTGCTGCTGTAGCCCATCTGCTTCAAGGTTGGACAAGGTGTTGTTGCTTCAGAGATGGTCTTCTGCAGACCTTGGTTGGAACCAGTGGTTATTTGACTTCCTGTTGCCTTTCAATCATCTTGAACCAGTCTGGCCATTCTCCTCTGACCTTTGGCATCAACAAGGCATTTTGGCTCACTGGATATTTTCTCTTTTTCAGACCATCCTCTGTAAACCCTAGAGATGGTTGTGGTGAAAATCCCAGTGTGTGACCATAAATCACCTTTCTTTCCTGTTCTTTTGCTCGGTTTGAACTTCAGCAGGTCATCTTGATCATGTCTACATGTCTAAATGCATTGAGCTGCTGCCACATGATTGGCTGACTAGGTATTTGTGTTAACAAACATTTGAACAGGTGTACCTAATAAAGCGTCTGATGAGTGTCTATCCAAAATATAATCATCAAGTATTATGAAACAATATGTAAGGTGCTAAATGTTCTTTATTAGGTAGTAAAATATAACTTTTAAGGGTAAATACATGTCTGTATTGACTGTAACAAATAGCATGTAGGGACCCTTACTGTGTCACGTCACTTAAATAAAAGCACCCTTTGAGGTAGATCAGTCTCCTCCTCAGTGTTACGTAACTCTTTGGGGGAAAGGTACATTGCATGTGACTTTTGTAGGGTAATGTCTACTTGCAGTCACAGTGTGTAGGTTTTCCAAATGAGTGTGGTGGCAGCATTCATCCAGCACTTAATGAATCCCATTTGGCAGGCAAATGAGCCTCAGCATTGACCTGGCAGATTCTGGAGCTGCTTCCATAGTGTCAGCATCTCCTTGGGACTCCGCCTGTGAACAAGCAGGACTGATTTGTAAGCGCAGGGATTGCCCCTGTCTGTCTCCGGGAGATCGAACGTTAAAAAACCCGGGTGATGGCGTGGAGAGAGCCCGAGTCTGTGCATGCACATGCCCAGGTACACATCGTCTATTGGGAAGAGGCGCACCCTCTTGGACACCTCTTTCAGTCGTAATGCAAGTGAGCCAGAATACACCACCCCACCTCCACCAGCATACGGTGGGTACGCACCTTTGTAGAAACGTTCTGGTATGTAGTATTTAGTGGATGGCTCCCGGTTTGGCATTGCGTTATTGATTACATCCCCAACGAACAAATCCATGTCGGTTTCATTGGTATACGCTTTCCACAGCATGTGCTCATCCCATTGCTTGTGCAGGTAATCCAGAAGGGCACCTGTTCGGACAAAGACATCATCGTCCCCTTTGAAGACGAAGATGGCGGTGGGGCAGTACTGCTGTAGCCAGTGCCAGAACAAAAGGTCCTTTAGGGTCAAGTTAAAAAAAGAGTCTCTGAAATCCCACTGTAAGATATCCCCATACTTCTGGTTCTCGAGCTCCAGGAGGTTTTTGAGGTCTGGGTGAGGACCAGTGCTTGAGTCCTGCCTTCCAAGCAGAAACACAGTGCGTACTAATCGGCCTTTCTTATTTGACTCCCCCCTCACCAGACCACTGCGTCCCCATGTTTCACGGATGGCCTGCCTGTTTTCAAAGTTCCCCACTTGAGATTTGATGGCCATGAGGAGCATGGGAGAATCCAGAACCATGCTGCTGTTATTCCTCCTACACATACCAGGTTGGTTGATAAGCAGAGGATACTCCCTGCAGTGCATCGACAATATAAACGCCCTCATTTGTTCTGGGAAGCTGTTTAAATCCTGCACACGAGGGACTGAACCCTTGTGTGACACGCAGTCAGAGAGGCACTCATCTTCCATTTCTGTTAAAACCTTCGCTTTTGGCTTCCTTGGGATCCCAGTCATGTTTCCTCGCAGTATCGGGTTGTGCTGACGGTCCCACGTGTGCTGCAGCCGGTTCCACAGTGCACTGTCCTCCAGACGGAGGTTCCAGAAGGGGCCAAGTGGGTGAGAGGCCATTGCGGAGGAGTTTGCAGAAATCCCAGTGGCGATATAGTGGATGGTTATTTTCGGAGGGCTGTAGGAGATGGTGACGAATATGGACACCATGATGTAGATCAGAAGGTGGCCGGTCATCATGCAAGGCAGCAGGCACATGCACAGAAGTCTCCCGTTGCATTTGCAGCATCTGCCCATCGCCGGTAGCGTACAAATCAGACACACACCTGCACACATGAAAATGAGACTTTAGCAGTCACGCACTAAAGTTGACATAACACATGCTCATTGTTTCAGATATTTACAGGTACGTAACCTTCCCTAATTACCATGAAAGGAAGCACCTCTGTTATTTATCCTCCTGAGACCTGAACTTTTGTTTGGTATGCATTTTTAATTTCTCCTCACTATTTGGGATCAGTAGGACGTGATTAGTATAAAAACCTAAACACTGTTAATGATAATAAAGTCCCAATGTCCTCAAACGAGACGACAATAAAGTCTTAATGACTTCAAACGAGTACTTGCTACTCGTTTGAATTAACAGCTTGTTCCTGTTGCTAACATTGGTCAAATTTGTTGACATATAAAACTACAAACATTATCAATCATAAATAAACAAGTTTCAACCATTAGATGTGATCAGGTTTTGGACCTTGTCCACTTTTGTGTCGGGATCGGCTGCAGACAGACTTGGCAAAAATGGCTGCCATCTTGTTTTTACATGGATTAGTGTATTGTGCCCTTACTACCACTAGATGGCACAAAAAGTGTCCATGAACGAGGACAACAGGTCTGAGTTAAGTAGAATGAAGTATAAGGTCAAGTAAACCCAAAATGTAGTCTGAGTGGGCAGAAGTTCGCTGCATAGATCAGCCTCTCATTGGGCGGAATGAGCCACCTGCTGAAGTCCCGCCCTACCACCTCCGGTTGCAGTTTTCAACACGTCCTTTACTAACTTTTGCAGTGTTTGATCTTGCGGGGATGTAGCCATTTTTCTGCCGTGGTTCGCGTCCTGTAGGTGATATTTTTGTGGGCGTGTTACACCAAAACCTGTTTCCCCCCAGCAAAAGTTTTGCTAGCGCACCGTTGCTGTGGCACCGCCCAGAACGATTGTGATTGGTTGAAAGAAATACAAGCAGCTGGGGCGTTTTTTTTCTCCAATCTAAAAGTGAGAGTCGGCCCAGCCAGACCTTTCTTTTCTTGAGAAAGGTCTGGTGAGCGAGGCTACCCAAAATGCGACGTCCATTGATGAGGACACAGGGTCTCAGGAGGATATAATGCACTTTTGTGTTTAGATTAAAAATGATTTGGGGGGTTGCTATTTCAGAAGAGTCATGGACAAAAGCCCAACTACTGGTGCATTCTTTGTCTAGTTTGTGCTAGACATGGACTTTTGCAATTTAAAATATTGCATAGACTTACTCTGTAATATGTACCCAAGTATTAGTCCAGTGTGCAACCACTGTGGGCAATCACCAGACCCACTAGCCAAATATTTTTCAGTCACTGTCAGACGTCCTGGGTTGCCCTCTGGATCCTGATCCACTGACCTCACTTTTTGGTATTAAGGTTCTGATCTTGTGTGAACCAGCTCCCCAAATAATACAATGTTATTTGTAAACGTACTAGCACATGGACTGATATTATTAAATTGGAAGCAAACACAGGCCCCTGCCCAATTCTTTCCAAATTCTACCAGATCTGGCAACCCTTTATAGACCACTTTTGTTTTGTTGTTAATTTTATTTTATTCTTAAAAAAATTTAAAAAAAAAAAATCTATAACTATTTATCTATTCATTTACTTTTTTATTGCTTTAAATAAAACCATAAATAGAACGATATGTTGTATTCGTAAATATTATATTTTGCAAACTTGTGTCTTTTTCTATACAAATCACCTTTTTGATTTTTTAACTTGTTGAATATTTTTTATATATTTTTGTACCAGATATTCTGTTTTCACATTTACACTACTGCCTGGTTTATCTAACTTTGAAAACGGCAATAAAAAGCAACAAATATAGTTGTTACCCTGCTTTTTATAGCCATCCTTTGGAAATGGACAGAAATAGAATATTATTTATATTATTTTATACATGGGTGTATGTCTTTATTTTTATTTTTTTCATAATTTTCTTTTATGTATTGGTTTTATTTACTTATTTATTTTTGCACGTTTTCTTTCTCTCACTTACTATACATTGATCGGCACTGACAAAGGACGTGTTAACACTGCATTTCAAAATTAAAAAGAAAGTTAAAAAATTACAACAGAGAAAACATTAAAACCAACACAGATTTAAATGATGCTTTGGGTGCACCTGAGAGATTTTTACAACCAACACTGTAGGCAGCCCTTTGGAGTTTCTGTCTCCTTGGTGATGGTCCAGTGAGGGTAATTATCTCTTCTTGTCTACACGGTCAAAGCATCATCCTGTGCCTACCTGCTGAAAGCCTCTGTAGACTGGTGTGGAACATGTATATGCAATATAATGGATTAACTCCCTCTTTCTTTATCTCTTAAAAGTTGAGTAAACACTGATGCATTATTCTTAAATTAGCTTTAATGGTGTGTTTGATTAAGGCTTACCTGTTTGCCTCTTTTCTTTTTAGCAACAGCACCATTAAATTTACAGATGACCTAACCCCAAATCCAAAATATCGACTCCTGCAAGCCTAAAGTCTCCAACATAAACGTGTCATAATTAATGGATAGTGATGGCAATATACTTACAACTCTAATGACAGACAAAGCATAAATGTACTTACAAGTGTGTGCACTGCCTTCCTTGTTAAAGCGGACTGAGATCACAGTGATTTGAGGTGTCCACTTTCTGTTGTAGTGTTTCATCCGGCTTGGTTATAGGCTGGTCGTAACGTGGCGGGTCTGTAGCGCATCATTTACATCCATAACGCTGACGGATAAACCCAAACATCCTCTCAACCTAAAGGCGTCCTCTCACCGCAGCACCGCCGCATCTGAGCAACAGGTCCCAGGTGGCTGCGCGCAGAGCATGCGCCACTGTGGCTCCTTAACGCCGCGGTGTAAGATGAGGAAAATACACACAGGGTTAATGTAGGCCTATTTGTGCTGCTGGCACGGACTGATTTGAGATCGGGAAGCAGCCTCGCCAGGCAATAATTTCTGCACACAGATAGACTTTGATTTGCATGCAGGTGCTGCAGGAGCTGCAGTCTGTGTATTTGCATGTGGCCAAATGATCTATGAGAAGATAACCCGACCGCAGCCTGCTGGACATCAATCGTCATGATAATGGCTCAACATTTCACTACTTATACAAACACGAAAAAGTACTTAGTGAACCAGGTAATCCACACTCTGCATTTAGAAAGCAGTCAGTGTTCTTGTATAGCCTACATTTGCCTGCAGGTTTGAATGAAGGAATATAAGAAGGGGAATAAATTAATGACATCACTGACCTGGTATAATAGAGTTTAGGAACTGTTCGTTATTTATGAAAGGGGGTGGGGCGTGGGATGCAAAACAGGTGAGGCATGTCAAATAATTTTGAAGCACTGGGGGGGGGGGACTTGAGTTTTTTATTTTGGTTCAGAGGAGTGACTTTAAATGGTTTCCTTTTATATTTATTTCTAACCTTTGAACATTGGTATTTTTGATTATCATGAGGTCATTTCTTGGAATAGGCCTATCTTTACTGCTTCATATCCTTAAAATCTGTACAACCTAAGCTAAAGGGTTAAGTGAGTCAATGAATAGAAAAATAAAAAACAAAACATAATAATTAAGTAGTGAAATTGTGTCATTAAATATAAATCTGACTTTTTTTTTCATCGGATGTTACAAAATATAAACACACTGATCCAAAAGATTTCTAAATGTAAAAGCACAAAAATATATATTTTTAACACTCCATAACTTATTTGAACTATGTACATTCTTTAGTTTTGGAATTATGCTCATTTTTTTAAGCAGAGAACAAAAGCATTGTGATGGATTCATCCCCTGGTGCCACATGTAACGTCGCACAGTGACATTATAGACAGAATCCTTAGAATGAATGCTCTAGTTGTTATAGTTTTAGTTTTGATTGATATATATATATATGATTATGCAAACAATGATCTCCTGTGGTGATTATGGGGAAATTCCAGCTATTCACAGCAAAATACTACGTCTGTACTGCACCTGAGGTAAGGTAACATAAGGTCATGGTATGATGATGGGGAAGACAAATGTCTTAGCTTTCTTCTGCAAAACAAATGAATGCTCTATATATTATGATTTTATTTTAGACAGATATA